AAACTATACTGTTTAACTCACATATTTTTCCTCTTACAAATGAAAAGTTGAATTCATTAACAATTAAAGGCTTCATTGTTGGATTCAATTCTCTTAGAGGTTTTACAGTTACAGCCTTTCTTGATTTGGTAGGGCCAGTAGCTTATAGAGGCTAATAAAAGAAGCTCAGAGCAAGTTCAATCAGGAAGACTATCTTTATGCCTCATTCATTCACAGTTCTCTCTCCTATTCTCTCTCCTTCCTGCACTAACCACAGCTTCACAGACCCCTTCAAATACAATGTCCCAATGAGGTCTAATTGCGATTCACATTTCTCATCTTTATTGCACACAAGTCAACTAAATATTTATGTTACTTAATGTAGATTTGTAGTGTTTGCCCTTTGGAATTAATGTAAGACCTTGTTGTATTTATTATAAAGGTTTTTATTTTATTTTATGGTTGCTCCACGTTGGGTACGCTTATGATACTGTGTTACTATGGCCTACTTTTCCAGCTTCATGTATGTGATTTGGAGGCTGTCACATTGTAAATTGATGTTTAGTGTTAATGCCTTGCTACTGCAGGTGGTTGTTTGCAGACTTGCAACCACTCCATGTTTAAGATGGCTTCTCACTGTCTTAAACCATTTGCCTGATGAAGGACTAGTACTAAAGTGCATATATTCGTCTTTCCAGGTCAAACTATTGTTAGCAAACTTTGGATGGAGCGGTTCACCGATGTTACAGTAGGATTATTTTCTACTTGTTCTAATATTACACTACATTGTAGCATTCAGCATCATCCCATAGACTACTTGCTGTGGCCACAGTAGTGACTAGTTATATAGTCTCAATTTAGTTTTTTTTTAGTTTTTCCTAATCCGAACAGTGGGTCTAGGGATAGTGTGCGCTGTACGTTGTACAAATTTTGAAGCCCTTTGAGGCAAATTTGAGATTTCAGGCTACTTAATAATAAGGCTTGACATTTAAGACAAGGTTTAAATTGAAAGATATCAAAATTTCTCATACTGATAATAATTTTGAGGACTTCAATAACCAAAAATCCAGTCACATCTGTTGAATCAATGAACTGCACACTCCATTGAGGAAATTATAATAACCATCAGCCACTAAGAGCTGGTGAGAGTAATGACAGAAAAATCTCCTGGCAGTTGGTTCAGCCAGAGTTGCTGAGTCCGATTTTGTCTCGACAGGCACTTACTCAGTGCTGCTTAGGCGCAAGCTTTGTATTTGCTCTTCATTTTTTAAATAGTCACTTCCTGTGTATAAAGATTTCCCTCAAGTGGCCATATCAGACATCAAAATTTAATTTGGCCAGCAAGGGTGAATGCATGGTGTCTGAATTAGGGTGAGGAGGGGGCTTTGTTCTCTGCTGCAGCCCCAGTTTGTGTGCTGATGAGGCAGGAGTATTCTAAAGAGCACGAGGCCTTTGGACATCTGGAGCGGCCTCCTCCATGAGCTCAGTCTGACAGATTATGTATTTACAAACCACACACTTAACACAATAATACAATATATTTTTGCATTGATGCCGCTGTCATTCTCTGTCTTTTCCTCCTCAGCCTTATTTCTGTGTACAGTACTGCATTTCCTTTCATTTCAAATCACTTGATAAACTTTGTTTTTAAAGTTATATGAAAAAAGCAATGAAATTATAGTGTAAACAACTAAACTGTTCTTCTGTGGCCACATAACGTAATTCATTTTGTTGCCCTATATTGCTGTGCCACTAAAGCATTGTTTTAATTAAAAGTAGAAACAGAGAAAGATGGTGAGGAAGAGAGAAAGAGGAGGGCAGCTTTCAGTTTGCCATCCTTCACTGTACTCTACTGACATCGGCGTGACACTCCTCCTTCTTGCTCTAATTACTGTAGAATGTCAACATTCAATATTTACTTATTGGGTATTCATGGGACTTAATTAATCAAAGCGATGGGTGCTTAACAGACTGCAGAGGACTGAGCTCCTCCCACACACAGGTTGTGAACGTTTTTCACTTTCTAGAAAACTAATCTTGGCACCAAGATGAAAAGACTTATCTATCCTTAAATCACCATTATGCATTCTGAATGGCTTGGATGAGTGATGTGTTGAGAAAGTCACTCAAATTCATTGGCAGCTTTTGGCATGTATCTTCCTCCTACTGTCTTTAAAAAAAAAAAGATAACAGGTTTACAAGCAGCGAGTTTGTCATAAATTCCCCAGAGGATAAATATAGCCCATCATTCTGTGGTGGAGACAAATAGTGTCAGAGTGACGGCAACCGAAAATGAAAGAATTTAAGATTAAAAGGAGGTACAGCTCAGAGCAACTTTTACTAGTGATAAAATGCTAAGAGCAAAGACTTTGTTATGCAACCTTGGATCTGTCCACTGAAAATGAAAATGCTTTTGCGAGAGGCTTACAAAAGCCTTAACTAAATATTTGCAATTGATTGTGTACTCAGCTCCAAACAATTACACTTATCCCTAAATAATTACCTGCCTGGATCAAGCACTTCTAATTCCCTTTAAAGTGTTGATGTACAGTCTATAAAAAGTATTCATCCACCTTGGAAGTTTGCATGTTTTATGGTCTTCCAACATTGAATCAAAGTAGATTGAATGTGGCCTTTTTGACACTGATCAACAGAAAAGGATGGCTCAGCTTTTGAGGATGGCCTGCTCTAGGCAGATTTACAGCTGTGCTTTATTCTTTCCATTTCCTAATGAGTGATTCATCTGTAGAGATAGAACTCTCCTTGTTTCTATGCCCTGACTTGTGGTTTTTAATCTTCATGGTGCAGGTTTTGCCATAATACTGACTCAGCAAAAGATGGCCCTTCCAAATACAGGTGTGTTTATACTAGAATCAACTGAAACCCCTCGGCTACAGAAGATCTCTATTTAACTTATTATATGACCAGTGCTACACAAGTAGGTGAGTCCTGTGAAAGGGGAAGAAGATCTGTTTTTAGGGTCTTTTCTGTTGATCAGTGTCAACAAAACCTACATTAAATCCAACTTGATTTACCGCCATAAAGCAATAAAACATAAAAACGTCCAGTAGGGGGAAATACTTTTTACTGTTCGTTATTTTGAGGTTATGGGTTGGGTGATGAGATAAACAACACATTGTGCAAAGTGACTTGAATCCTTTCCTCCACTGTACTCTACACACTCACACAGGGAGAAAGTTGGACTTTCAGTGTCTTGCTCAAAGATATGTTCATCATGTGCATATGAGGAGCTGGAGATTGAACCACCCGCCCCTCTAAGCCACTCTGCCCCCCTGAACTACAGCCACCACACATTGGCTTCTCAGACAGCAGAATACAATAGTGAACATTCCTTAACACAGCTGAGCTATATTATGTTACAGAAGTACTACTGAATATTACAAACCAGAAATATGAAGCAATGGTTAGGCCGTTGTAAATGGCTTGGACTGTAGTAACTGTCACGATTTGATACTGACTCAAATAAGCTGCACTTAAACTTACATTACATTCAGGCGAAAGAGGATTTACTGCAAGCTCAAGTTTCTGTGTGCCCTATACTGATACTGTAAATCCTATTCTGGACTGCTATTTGTCACTGTCATTGTTGTGGTAACAGGTAGAATTGAAAGGGGGTGGGGGTGGGGGGGTACAAGAGATGATGAGGTCATTCTTTTTGAAGGACACTGTGGTGCATAACTCCCTCGTCTGCCCACCTTTCTCTTCAGCGGAATCTCCTTTGTTTATAAACCTGCAGGCCAAATGCCTTTGTAGGTCTTGCAAAGCTGTAACCAGTCCAACTAGTTTTGAGCTAGGATCGCTAGAGCAAGCGAGGGAAGTAGAGAAACAGAAAGATGGGAAGATAATTTAGATACAGTAGTGCTATGATGCTACTAGCCAGGTGTTGTGAATTGCCTGCCGGTGCAGAACATACCTCGTTACCCAATGTGCCATAGCTCCCACAGAGCAGCCGCGGGAGGTCTGTGTGCTCTGTTGGCACGTTTCTTATCAGTGCATTAACACTTTCAAGATTACAAGTGAAAACAACACTTTCACAATTGAAATGAGACCCCCTCTTTTGTTCTGTCATTTTAAAGTTGTAGGAGGGTAGTGTGTGTGTGTGTGTGTGTGTGTGTGTGTGTGTGTGTGTGTGTGTGTGTGTGTGTGTGTGTGGGAAAGACAAACACACTTACCTCATCCACAGTAAGTGGCATACATATGCGGTACTCTTTCATCAACATGGTGCTGTTACAGTGAGGACTGTCTTTGAGAACTGTGTCTGTGCTTGAGTCCGTCTATCTCAGCTGTCTTTGTTGCATAGTAGACAGGCTCAGGCAAGCTACACTGATGCTGGACTGCAGTGACCTCTTTTCTGACGCTCCTCTTCCTTTGTTTTGCTGTTGTCAGTAATCCATGGAGTTAAATCCAGACCTCTCAGTCAATGAGTATCTATGTTGTTTTCTTATTTTCCTCCCTTTTTGCCCACTCCTCTCAGCCTCGCCTCTCCTTTTTTGTTTCTGTTGCTCAATTAATCTCCTGTACCAGACTTTTTAACTGCTGTCTCTCCCTCCTTTTCTTGTTACTTCTGCTTTCTCCTCTCCTGCCCTCAGCTGCCCTTTCTGTTTGCTGTTTTCCTCACTTAGTTTCTGTTTGCTTTCTTTCACCACAGTGAGAAAGGTAGTAATTAGCTGTGAGTTGAGATTGAAACCTAACCAATTCTACCTGTTCTTTCCCCTTCTCTGCCTCTCTGCGCTTTGTTTAATTCCTCCTCAGACTTCTCATGTGTAACCTTGCTGTCTGTTCAGCGCTCCTCCCTTTTCCCCTCAACCGCCCTCCGCTGCTTTCAGTTCCTCACAAATTCCTTTGCCTGTTCCCTCCTTATCTCCTTTTTTTTCTAGTTTTTCTAGCCCTACCTCCCTCCTTCCCTCCCTCCCAGAGTATCCACTCCCCGCCCACTGTACTTTACTACCTCCTCACCTGTGTCACCCCCCCCCCCTCTCCCTCCCTCTCTCTGATCTTTATCTGTTCTTTCTTCTCTGTCTCTGTTTTTAACAACAACACTCTATCAACTTTCTATATCTGGAAACATTAAGTAACACAGTTTGCAGACATCAGTCTGGGATTTTGAAGCACATTCCTTCTTTACCTCCCTCTCAACACTCAGGTTATGACAGCACCCAGGGTACACAGAGGGGTAGTCAGGGTGGGCCATTGGATTAAATATTACCAGAGCCATGAGAACTTCCATTAAGCACAGCGCCAGACTCGCTTACATTGTATTACCTCATGACCTTCAGCTGGGTTTAATTGAATCCGTGTTTAGTCAATGAGTAGTGGGATCGAAGCAGTCATAATTTCTCGCCCGTGTCCGTCCTTGAGTCACGGACCACTCTCTCTCCTTTTGTAAGAGTGAGAGCTTGACGGCGAGTGCCAAGCACATATTGTTGCCTCCCCATCAAATAAGAGAAGCAGATGTTTGGCTTCTCTGGGTCACTCTGACAAGGGGCCAAAACCAATAACCAGCCCTGGATTCTTCCCTTTCTGGTGGAATTCACTTGCTCTTCCTTAGTGTGCCTTGAGACGGGGCCAAAGTGGCTCTCTTCTCCACGTGTCTTCGCTATCATCTGCTTCGCAGTGAAAGAGCGGTGAAAACAAATTCCTGGTGGGGTTTGCTCCTATCTTATCAGATCAGTGTTTAGAGAAGGGAAGCCACTTCAGAGAGGTGAGGCGTGCTTTGCTTGTATCTGTCTCGAATTCTCCTTGGACTCAATGTACACAGAGAGCTCTGACAGCACATCACCACAGTTTAATGTTTGATTGGCAGTGACTTAGATGCGTATTCAGCAGTTGATCGAGTCATTGATCACTTTGATTGATTATTTAATTGTGGTGTGAGGGTTGGGAGCTGGGTTAATAGTAACCATGGTGAGGAATGGCAGTGCTCTCGGATGACTGATCCTGCAAATTATGGAGCTGATCAAAAGGTTTCTTCATTGATTAATGGATGAAATAGATGTTTACTATAGTCTGCGACAAGAAAAGTCAGAAGTGGAACTAGTTATAGTTACTGAAGAATACAGAGAAACACTATTTTGAAATCTCTGTAATTTTTTCCTATGTGTTTTTGTGCATTTTCACACCTTAATTAGAAATATAGCAGTTGAGAGATGACAGGAAATGAGGGGAGAGAGATGGGGAAAGACATGCCACAAGGGCCCCATTTACACCTGGTATTAACATGAGATCTGTATCTGGATACATTATCTGGTATAATATCTGATCAACGGGACTTGGTATTAATAAGCGTTCTCATTATCTTGATTCTATCTGCATTGTGATCTGATCTCACTATGCAGATTAGTTAGGTGGGGCAGGTGGAAAAAAAACACACATTGTCCTACCCAGGTCAGGTAAAAGCATTTGATTAAATTTTTGTGAGGTATAGACCTGCTATATACTGCTACTTGTAGAGCTAGCAGGAAGAGGCTGACTTGGGTGCAGTGTTCTTGTCAAGACAAGTCCAAAAACTAATGCTTTTGCCAATGAGATGAGTTTTGGCAGCCAGTTGTTTCCAGGCAGCCAGTGTCAGTGCTCGTTCTAAATGGATTTTGAATTAAAGCAATACCCATTATTGGTTTCGTTTTGAAGGAGGAATTCCAAGACTTAATATTTGACGAGACCAATAGCCAAGTCCAAGACAACAGAAAAAACATCTCAAGTCTACTACAGCACTGGTTAGGTGCTCTGACGTCACACTATATCACCACCTCCAAATGTGATCTGACCGGTTTGATTGCCTTAAGATCACAATGCCTGCATTTACATGTTGCATTAACATGTGCTGTTCCTGATCAAGGTAAGATAGCCATAAGATAGCCATGTTAATGGTCTGTAAATGGTGGGAAAAAGTTCCCGGCTGAATTTAAACCATTGGCGCCCCCATTTTCAGTCTTTGCAACTGAAGAAAATGCAATGCTTTGGTCATAGACTGTTCTTAATGATGCTGTTGTTAGTATTAAAGAAAAAATTTACAATGTGCTTGAAGTCAAACTTTCTTCTGCATACTTTAATTTTGCTCAAACACTTAATTTGACAATTTATTTAATTTAAAATAAAAAATGGGAAACGGTTCAGTTAGGGTTAGAAAACTCAGAACTATGACTGAAGTGTACAATGAAAACTCAGCTCAATGTACTTTTGTGATGAACTGCAAAATGAATAACAAAAATTCAGCTGAGGAAGCAGTGCAATGCTTTAATCAGAATGAACATTTTGAAACTCTACTTCTGGTCAGAGCTGCCTATCCTTATTTTGTGTCCTGCAGGACGGAGGAGCAGGCGGTGATGGAATTGGAGGGGACTTCATCACGGTGCTTACACCTATCACATCCCCTCACATCATTAAATGAAAAATGAATGGGTGCACTTAGAAAACTGGTGAGGCGTTCTTTGACCTCTGTGTTTCCTGCCCCGACTGTGTTCATGTGCGTGTTTGGTAGAAAGACAATGTGTATGTGTGTGTGTGTCTATGTGTGTGTGGGGCTGTGTGTCAGTGCTGCGAAGATGGTGAGCAGTATGGATCTGTATTAAGCTGGAAAAAGGAAGGAGCAGATCATTAACTGGTGGGCCAGCTGCCATCGCTGCATTACCGGCTCTTCAATCTCAAGGTGTGGTCACAAGCCAAGGTCAGAGGTTCTCTGGTGTCCCCTTCAAGCGTGTGAATGATGGACCCTCCTGCCTGGGCCTGGATTAGCGGTGGCTTGGTTGGATGGCACTGAGCTGATACGCTGCAGCTTTTTCATCTCACGGCAGGGTGAAAGGTAAGGCTTTGAGTAAGATTTAAGATGATGAATTCAGCAGTCTGCGAGGATAAGGTTTGACTGGTTTATGAGCTCCGTGTTGTACAGTTATGAAGTGTGGTAAGTACCAGCATCTCTCTGTGAGTGTGTCCGGATTCTCAGCCTCCCTCCCCTTCCCTCCATTATCACAAGAAGCCCGCCGGACGCCTCTGATCTCTGTTTTGGTCCAATCATCAAAAACCTGAAGTATTTAGGTCAGACTTTAGCCTAGCAAAGAGAGAGACAAGAGGAGAGAAAAATAACAGAGAAAGAGAAAGTACACATTCCATTATTGTCCTTTTTTCATAGTGTCTCAAAGCACAAACTCCGCCAGATGTAACTGACACAGCAGACAGAAAGGAGGCTGGTTGTTGTGCTAACATCTCTGTGGGCTGTGATGTATAATGTGTGTCTTATGTGTCGTGAGTAGGGGGGTTTTGTATGTAGGTTTGTGTGGCTGGCTCCACTGTGTTAAGATGTAAGCTTAGTCTTAATCTCCTTGTAGTTGAGTATCAGGCTGGTGCTAAGACATTGATTGGACCAGCTCCTTAATTGATACCACTGGAGGACCGCCCGCCAGGGGGAATGTGGTTTCTATGTGTGTATGTGTGCCTTTTGGTGTGTTAGAAGTTAGAAGTGAATCCCCAGGAGACCTGGATGAAACAGAGCGCTCATTTATCCTTATCGAATCCCAGTATCGTGTTGTCAAGCTGTGTCCCACTGGGAAACACACGCACGCCAGTGAGGAAGATGAGGTCTTATCCGACATCGTTAGGGGCTCCAGACAGTGTTCCAGGCCACGCCAATCAGTGCAACACCCCAACATGACAACTTGGCGCAAGAGAAAGTGCAACTGCCTTCATTAATTCCTCCAAACACACACACACACACACACACACACACACACACACACACACACACACACACACACACACACACACACACACACACACAGACTAGGTGCCCCTCACATGTACACCCATCTTAACATATGCCATTACACACACACACACACACGTCTTGCTCTGGTAATCAAGTCCTGAGACTCCAATTATAGGAAAGAATAATTCATTTGCAGCTTTTTTCCATATTCATGAGCTCAGCAATATAGACTGAATTCCATACATTGTTGAACGTATGTTCCCAGATGAATTATAGATGTTATTTGAAATTGTTCAGTGTTCTTAAATGTCATCATTAATCTGAACAAGGAACAACAGTGCTGGCTCATATCCTTTGAGGAGAGTGAAAATGTGTTTTTGTCTCTGCAGAGTTTGTGTGTGAAGAAAGAAGATAAAGGATCCAGATCTATTCTATAGCTTGCATTATTCCTTTGTGTATTTGTGAGTCTGAGCAAGAGAGGGAGAGAGAGAGAGAGAGAGAGAGAGAGAGAGAGAGAGACAGAGAGAGACAGAGAGAGAGAGAGAGAGACAGAGAGAGAGAGAGAGAGAGAGAGAGAGAGAGAGAGCAAGGAGGGTGAAGGAAGAAGAGAGAGTCCTCATGTGCATTGGAGGCAGCCAGAAGCCAGTGTGTATCTAAAGGCGTTCAGAGCAAGGAATGATCAGAGGGTGTGAGCCCAACACATTCATCAGGGCTCTCCACCGGGACATAAGTTGAGGCACACCACAGAGACGAATAAAAAAGCCGTGGACCGAAAAGAAATGAAATAATTTATTCCAGGAATCGAGTGGAGGAGATTTGGAGAAGTATGTGTGGAAGGGGAAGGGCAGAGGAATGGATTAAGGCTGCGTTCAGTGTCTGCGTGAGATAGAGGCTAGCACTGTGGCCCTGAACTTTTTCCTATTCCACACACCGCCACTGAAAGGAAATTCAATTGCCACTTACCCTCACTTTCTGCCCGGTGTGTGAGAGCGGAAGGAAAAGGGAAAGAGAGATAGACTCAGCGACTGAATGCAAAGTAAATGCACACATATAGAGTGGAATGCAAGGTGGGGGAATTTAAAGAAAGTTGAAAAAGCCATCTCAGACTCTTTTAAAAACATGGCAGCGCTCTGTGGCCCCTTCACTCTTCTTTACTGAACCCCTTCCCTACTATCTGTCTCCATCTCACCTAACCAGCCCTCCACCATACCATCTTGCTCTATGTCAAAGCTCAATGTCTTTAATGTTAATACCACACAGTCCACGCAGGCTCAGAGCGTAATCCCAATAGCGTTCAGCCTGGTACTTTTCTCCAAAAGAAAATAAAATTTGTTGAGTTCACAAACAAGTGTTTGATGCGGCACCGTGTGGAAATCTCAGTATATCCCCTGCGGCTCGAGGTCTGTTTGTTTAACGACATCCACGCCAGATGGAGGAACTTGCCAGTCACAGTGAGAGGAAACAACACAACCGGAAATTTAAGTAAAAACATCACATGATGTGTGTCATGATGAAGGAGTCCATTGGATATATTTCACTAGGTTCAGCGGACCAGCCCTCACACACTGCAGCGATCAAAGCTAAATGTGGCACTCGAAGCCGCCATTTGGCCTGTGGGAACATGTCAAATTCAATTTCAGGTAGAGTATACTAGCAGTCTGACACCACTCCTCTGAGACACTAGGAGCCTTCTAACAACCCCGTAATCTCTCACTCCTTGTGGTCAACTTCTTTCTACCTGTCCTTTTGTGTTTCAGTGGGACTTGACAGAGACACTGCAGAAATCCAGACACAAAAAAAGAGATCTTTTCTATGTCTTAATCAGCCTTGTTAACTGCACTTTGATTATTAGTCAAATGAGTTTGAATTGCTTGTGTACACCATCTGTCTGTGTGTGTGGGGAGTTAGGTTAGGGTGGTTATTAAAGTTTAACAATGGTATTATTTGATATTTACATGTATTATGGCTTATTTATACTCACCACTGTAACAATGAACAATTGTTATGAAATGGAAATGTGCAAGTTGAATTACAGTGTCCAGTGTGACATAGTTACATCCTACTACTGATGCAGAAGAAAATGACTGTTTCATAGCAGCAGTAAGAGAGATGGTAAAACAGACATATAGTTACAAAATGGAATAACATTACATGTTCATCAACAGGTTGTGATGTTATCGAGTGTCAAACAGTAGACTGATAGATTAGTTTGAAGCTTATAGCTTCTCCAATGTGAGGATTTGCTGCTTTTCTTTGTTCTGTATCATTATAAACTGTATCTTTTTGTTTTTGGATTCTTCTTTGGACAAAAGACATTTGAAGACGTCACCTCGGGCCCTGGGAAACTGCCATCATGAACTTTATTCACTATTTTTGGAGATGTAGACTAAACGATTAATCGAGACAATAATTATTAATAAGAATAATCGTTAATTGCAACTCTAGTTAAATTAGTTTTTAACTCTAGGAGAGAAGCGTTTTCACAAATCAGTTGAGATTGATCAACAACTGTTATTGTATTGCTGTTGTAGTTCATTATTTGAGCATGACACTTAGTTGTATGTAGTAGTAGAATATAACTAAGTACATGTACTTAGGTACTGTACTTAAGTACAAGTTTGAGCTGTACTTGAGTATTTG